GGCTTCATGAATGGGATTAGTGACCTTGTAAAAGAGGCTTTGGGGCAGCCTCCTGGCCCCTTCTGCCATGTGAGGATACAGAAGGTGCCATCTATGAGGAACAGGCTCTCACCAGACACCAAATCTGCTGGCACCTTGATCTTGGACTTCCCAGCCTCCAGAATTGTCAGCAATAAATTTCTGTTGTTTATAAACTGCCCAGTCTAAAGTATTTTGTTATAGTAGCCTATACAGACTAAAACACCAGATAATGGGATGTCATGTTTTATTACCTCCAACTGCGAAAGAGACCATTATGTCAGCCTCTCCTTCATACATCCTGGAGAATGTGAGTGGAGTCACCTCCTCCCAGACTTTCAGAGCTTTCTCAATGGCAGAATCAACAGCATCTCTTGGCAAATCTGGTGTATAATTCACAATCCTGTATGAGAAAAATTGAAGAAGATAATATTTTCTCCTATGTTACAGCTTATAAAGTTTCAATCTTATGTGAAAGCTCTTTGGACCCATTACCTGTAAGTAAGGTGGGTTTTCCTCCATTTCGGTGTGCCAGGAAAGGTAGTGAAGTGACCAACGTCAGGAACGCCACACCTGGGCTTGCGAATCACCTCCAGAGTGTCGGAGTCCAGCTTCCCCGTCACCTCCAACCCAAGGAACTTCTGCATTTCTTGGATTTTTTTAACAACAGAACCACTGTCCCTTCTTCTAACAGACTTCTTCACATCTTTTGCGAGGTCATAGTAATTTTCTAGGTATTTCTAATCAAATAATAAGTACAATTTCTAGGTCATTTTTATGATTTTTAGCCATTTATCCAAATTTTATATCTATCCTAATTTTTCTCTAGTTTCCTTTAAACAAAAATAGGTATCACATTTAATTTGATTTTTCATTAAAATTCTTCATTTCATTATTTGATCTTCCTACAAGTTTTGGATTTGTTTGAAATTTTATTTGCTAGTCAAGTAAGGAATTTGGAGTTGAAAATTCAGGTTTAGCATCTTTTTTTAAAAAAGGAATTCTCCTTTGACATAATTGTGTGACTGCTTTGGGTGACTGCCTCTAACTTTCTCCACCTAATATTGTTAAGACCTGGTTCAAGACTGAAGTGGGATAAATTCTTTTGTCCAAACCTGACAAGTAACAACGTATTAATAAACATTAGTACCTGATAGTATCTGAAGATCAAACTTAGCATGTTCCCCCTCCCCAATTATTTCGACTAAAGAAATTATACAGCCAGAGAAGTTTCGTATATTTTTCATTTGTTCTGTTCATTTAGCCCCAAAGCTGATGCTACTATTTTATTGTAACCTTGAGTAATTATATTCCCGTCCTGCGCCTTTCTTTCTTTCTCTGCTAAAATGAAGAGAATTTCTACCTCCAACACTTGAATATTCTCTGATGTGACATTATTCCTATCAAATGACTTCTAATGAAATCAGCCTGCTTTGCATTGGAAGACCAAGTCGGCACGCTTGTCCCTCCACTATGGCTGGCCAGTGCCTGCAATAGTAATTACCTGGACAAGATCCATGTTGGTGTCCTCCTCCTTTGCTGCTCTCTTCAGGGTATAAGCCCAGCAGACTGGCAGACACAACAGCACAAGGATGGCGAGACACTTCATTCCTACTGTCTTCAGCTCAGGGAAGCACCTTCTCTGTCTACTGGCTTCTGGCTCTGCCATCTAGGGGCCTTTCTTTTATAGGGAGACAGCACTGAGATCACCAACAGCATGATTCACGCGTGTGTGTTTCAAATCTGAATGACCGCAGGAATGGTCACAAAAATCTAATGTAAAGAGGGTACAGCTCACATCAACCATTTCCCTCAACCTCCTCAACTTGAAAGAATGACTAATTTTCAGGAAATGGTTCCTGTGTACAGAGGAAAAAGAAGTGGCTACATAATTCACATCTGTATTTACCAAGAGAGCGCTGAAAAGCCTGGAAAATGTCA